ACTCAAGTAATATTTTTAGAGAAGACTTTAACTTTTATCAAAGTATTTTTATGATAAGATACTTTAAGACTTTTACTCAAGTAATATTTTTAGAGAAGACTTTAACTTTTATCAAAGTATTTTTATGATAAGATACTTTAAGACTTTTACTCAAGTAATATTTTTAGAGAAGACTTTAACTTTTATCAAAGTATTTTTATGATAAGATACTTTAAGACTTTTACTCAAGTAATATTTTTAGAGAAGACTTTAACTTTTATCAAAGTATTTTTATGATAAGATACTTTAAGACTTTTACTCAAGTAATATTTTTAGAGAAGACTTTAACTTTTATCAAAGTATTTTTATGATAAGATACTTGTACTTTTACTCAAGTATCACTTTGAGATACTTTATACAACACTGCAGTTTGTTTTTTTCTTTTGGTGGGGAGTGGTGTACTGGTGCACCGCGAACTTAAACAGGAAGCTGGCGGTGTACAGAGCGGTAAACCTGTTTTTGTGTGGCTTTATTCTTTGTTTTTCAGGAACTGCTGAACAGAGCTGTGGCTAAAACAGACGGGGCTGAGGTGGAGCCACTGGAGAAGCTTTATGCTCTTCTGGCTCAGTGCATCTACAGGCACAGGAATAACTRCAATAAGACTGAACTTGTGAAGGTACGGCAACCAGACAAAACTCCTGTTAGCTGTCAACAGATCCAGGATCTGTTAAATGTCTTTAACCGAGTTTAAAARTTCATAAACACAGCCTTCTGTTATTAGAAGAACAAATTAGGCTTATTTAGTGACTAAAATAAGAACTTTCAGTGATTCTGTTTCATAAAAATATGCAAACCTGCAGTGTTTTTAAGAAATATCTATAAAAAAGCGACAAGTAGATTAACACAAATCCCTTTAGATTAGGTTTGTATATATGCATTCATGAACTTTCACGTTGCAAAATAAAAGCTAGTTTAACAAAAAGTTTGTGGTTTGTTTTATAAATTAATTATTTTTTTGTCTTTTTGTGTTTTCTAGGAAATGAAGTCAGCGATCGACAGCTTCTCCTGAACACCCACAATGAAACCTGATTAAATTTAAAGTTGTTATTGCCTTTGTACATTCATACCCAAGAACACAAGTTTTAAATACCTCAATATTTAAAGCACTTTGTCAGTTTTTATCTCATTTCTTTCGTATTTCCGTATGCGTATAATCTTGCAGTGACACTTTTATGATGACGTGCTATAATAAGGATGGTGTTTTGAGTGCAGTAGCAATTTAACACGTTTTTCAGTATTTATTGTATCTTTTGTYTTGCTCATAAATTATGAAAAAAGCTGCAATTTAAATTCAAGATACTTATAATTAAAGATGTGTTATAGATTAGAGCTCTTTAGTGCACAACATTAAAGCTTAATAATGTTTGTTTAAATAAACAGTTTTGAAGATCTATGTTCATTGTTAAATTGTTTTTTTTTTTTGACGCTGTGTTTTTATTGTTTTGATTATAATTCATACTTTAAATGCTTGATTTCTACCTTTTCACAATCTGACGCCTCACAGTTGGTGCGCAGCGTGACGTAAAGACGTTCATGAACCGTCTACCATGACGTTAAAAAAAGTTATCACGTAAGTCATCACGCCAATTAATATTTCCGGTTGCCTTCAAAATAAATCTAAAGTATAAATAGTATCTAAAGAAACGGGTATGGTTCATTATAATGAGTTTAATAATCCCCATAACAAAAGCTCACATATGTTAAGTATTTTCTCTTAGCTCTTAGCGCAAACTGAACATTAATGTTCTTTGTTTGCTTTATAAAAGATGCGGATAAATTGTCAATGCTTTTACTTTGAAGGGTATGAAACGGATGCGGTCATCCGGCATTGCTAGCTTTCAGCATAGCTTCGAAAAAATGGTTGCATTCGGTGAACTATCGGTGCCTCTTTTTACGAAACTGTCCTTTTCTGTAGGAAAGCAGTACCAACAATGCATGCCGAAGCAAGGCTAACGGAACCCGCAGCTAACAAGACGGTAGTCAGTGACGAGCTCGGGCGTCAGAGTAGCTCTCTGTCCGGCTGAGGCAGATGGGCTCCTCGGTGAAACTGGGCAAAAGGCGGAAGGACTGCGTATCAACAGACATTCACACAGATGCTACACAACAGCTACCAGCTAGCTAACTACTCCGGCATGCAAATAAACGAGAGCGGATTCAGCAGGTAAACACACGGAGCTGGCAAGTGTCAACCTGCATCCTGCCTCTTGACCGGGACGCTGTTGATGGACTTGGCTCTTCTTTGTCACATAGTTGAAACAGCTAATGTTAGCTGGGAGGATGTTGTTGCTCTTGGTGTTTATCAGAGAGAGAAAGACGGGACATTTTGGCGCTTATTGTGTCGGATGACGTGATTTCTGTGGTCGACAGGAAGTTGATGTTCTTCAGGACTTGGACCTACAACACATGCTGAAATGAAACTAGTCCCACATTTACCAGCAGGAAGTGTCAAATGTAGAAATACTGTGGTTGTTATTGATAGAGRCTTTTGTTTTCTACATTTTGAACCTCTGTATTATGATAGACCAGTGCCTTTTCAATACCTCACTGCTTTAAAATAGTATATTTAGGCACTTTGTTTTTACTGCAGATACACTCCTGATCAAAATCTTAAGACCAGTCAAAAAAGTGCAAAAATTTGCATTTTGCACTATTGGATCTTCAGAAGGTTCTAAGTAGAGCTTCACAATGTTAAAAGAAGAAATCAGTGCAAGAGACAAGCAGGGAATTTTCTGAAAACTGCATTTGCACTCAAACCTGATTTTTCAGCTGATCAAAAGTTTAAGACCATAGCTCAAAAACAAAACAAAACAAAACAAAACAAAAACAAACCCTGAACCCCCTTCCCCCCAAAAACAGAAATCAAAGTGTCAAAAAAAAGGACTCAGTAATGAGTAGCTCCACTATTCTTGTTGATGACTTCAAACAATGGTTTAGGCATGCTTGATGCC